ATAGGGTGCGTGCACTCACCAGACAGACAGAGAGAGACATAGAGACAAAAAGCGAGAAATCACCCCCGCGGGGGGATGGCCACGCCGCAATCCCTTCTCCTCCATTCTCCTCTTGGGATCTTGGGCACGCACCCATACGTGCCTGGCATGAGCTTAAGCCACCGGGTCCAGAACTCAAACTGCGGTCGACTACATGGTAGTTCAGTGACATAGCCATTACGTCAACTGCTGGTCTCGAACTTAGTATATTCTGAGGGTAGAGCCGTCGCTGCCCACCTGTGCCCCTGCCAGTCTTGTCACCTCCTAGCAGGCTCCCTCTGCATCTCACTGAGCACCTGATCCAGAGCGTGGCGCTCACAGGATGTCCCCACCTAGGTGATGCTGGCTCTAGCCAGCCACCTGAGCACAGTGGAGTCGGAGAAACAGAAGCTGCGGGCTCAGGTGCGGCGGCTGTGCCTGGAGAACCAGTGGCTCCGGGATGAGCTCGCGGGCACCCAGCAGCGTCTCCAGCGGAGTGAGCAGGCCGTGGCTCAGCTGGAGGAGGAGAAGAAGCACCTGGAGTTCCTGGGGCAGCTGCGGCAGTATGACGAGGATGGGCACACTGCGGTGAGCATGTGCACGCCAGGTTGGCCGGGGGCTGCCAGCTGGGTGTCGCCACAAACATGGGGGCATTTGGCCCACCATCCTCAGGGGCTAGCAGTTCCATCCACCCCAATCCCACCTGGCGAATTTCTTTTTCAGTCCTGACACCAAGTCCAGGTGACAGCAAGGGGGAAAACGGTAGCCACTCATTCAGTCACCACTTCATTAGATGCCCACTGAGTGCCAGGCACTGCATACTCCTCAGGGAACAGGGTCGTTGCTCTCGCAGTTACAGGTCTGTGAGATAAGCACCCGGCCAGTTCTAACCCAGGCCCTAAATGCTACAGTCAGGGAAGGCATTGCCCAGTTGATCAAGCCCTCCCCAAATTTACTCACACGGTGCGTGACATTAACCCTCACTTGGCAGGTGTTTACGTATCTCTGTGCCTTATGCTGTACAAGGTGGGCATAGAGGAGATATGAAAAACTTTCAAAGAGAGTTCCCGCCTTTGAGCGTATAAGTATTTGTCAGGAACAGGCACATATGTGTGAGCACGTATGTGACGATGCCAAGCAGTGGGTGCTCAGCGCTGGCTAAGTGGTTCAGTCGGTGTGGGAGGAATTCCACAGAGACAGGTCCCTGCGGGCCGGACTGGTGTCCGTGGGGAAGAGGCAGCGTACAGAGGTGGGGAGGATTCCAACTAGATTTCTCATTTGAATGGATTAGGAATTGGGTTGGATTCTGAAGGATGATGAGGGAGAGGAAGGAGCCCTCTAGACTGGAAGGCTGTGGTGTGTGTTGTGGATAAGGCTCCCGGGGTGGAAAGCTGGTCCGTCCTAGGGCTAGTGAGATGATCTGCATGGACCCTCTGGTGAAGCTGGAGGGGCAGGCTGGAGGTGTTTGTAAAAGGCTAGGCTTTTCCTTCTTCCTGAGGAGAAAAAAAGTTCCCAGAGTGGAAGTAGGTTGGACAGTGAGGGGCGAGCATGAAGTCCAGAGTGAGCCGTGGCAGATGCCGTGCGCATGGCTGGGCTGGCCCCTTCGAGTGCGTGTCAGAAAGGTCAGACACACTCCCCGGCCTCAGGAGAGACAGGACAGACCTGTAATCAGTGCAAGTGCACAGGGATCAGCCCAGGGCTGCAATTACAGCAGCCGGTGGGGAGGCTGGAGAAGGAGGTGGTTAGGAAGGAAACTTCCTGGATGCGAAGGAAGGGAATGTCATGAGATTCCGTCCAAAGCATTTCTGGATTTTTACCAGTAAGAACAGACTGAGCTTGACTGGGCAAGATGTTGGCCTACTCAGGGACTGGGGCAGGAAGGGGGGTCTTCTAGGCCCCCTTTGTCAGTCATTTCATGGCTCAGCAGGTCCCATAAAGGCTCCTAGGGATATCTTGGCCCTGACGCACTGCTTCTTCCCTTCCAGGACGAAAAGGAAGGTGACGCCACCAAGGATTCCCTGGATGACCTCTTCCCCAACGAGGAGGAAGAGGACCCCAGCAATGGCTGTGAGTCTGCTTCTGGAATTGGATGGTGATGAGTGACAGTGAGGGCTGGTCCCAGCTGTGGCCCACCGCAGGATACTCACTCCCCAGAAACAGGCTCTCTCCTTCCTCTGGAGATGGGGCAGGGGCTAGGCTAGTATTTTGATTTCCTCAGCCTCCTCCTTATTCATCAACATCAATATTTATTAAACTCCTTTTTTTTTTTTTTTGAGAGAGAGAAATTTTTGCTACCGGGTTCGTGTGCTTGCTGGAGAGACAGAGAGAAAGATAGAGACACAGAAAGCAAGAAATCACCCCTTGGGGTGGGGGGAAATGACCACATTGCAATCTCTTCTCCTCCATTCTCCTCTCAAATTTTGAGCATGCATGCACATGTGCCTGGCGTGAGTTTTAGGCCGCTGGATCTGGGACCCAAATCACAGTCAACTACGTGGGAATCCAGCACCTCAACCACCATAACTGGTCCCTATCAAACTCTTAACATGTGCCAGGCACTGTGCTGGGTACTAGAAATACCAAAATGAAAATGACGCAGGTCTCATCAGTGAGGAGTTCCCAGTCTAGTGAGAGAATGACTGGAGATGGAAGAGCAGGAGCTCCTCCAGGGACAGAACCAGGTCTTTCTTATTTTTGTATTCCTCAGACAGCCCCTGGCTCATGCTTATTGAGCAAATGCTTGTTGAATGAAGGAATCACTGGATAAACAAATGAAATTGTGGTGGGCACAGGTGCAAGGGAGTGGGTTAAAGAATAGTAGTTAGGGACCAGCAGTTGGCATAATGGCTATGTCACTGGAGTCCCATGTAGTCCACCATGGTTCAAGTCCCGGACCCGGTAGCTTAAACTCACACCGGGTGCGTGTGCATGCGTGCCCAAGATCCTGAGAGAAGAATGGAGGAGAAGGGATTGTGGCGTGGCCATCCGCCCTAGGGGGTGATTTCTCACTTTCTGTCTCTCTGTCTTTCTGGTGGTGCATGCGCCCTATAGCAAAAACCTCTCAAAAAAAAAAAAATAGTAGTTGGGGGACCAGCAGTTAGAGTAATGGCTATGTTGCTGGACTCCTACGTAGTTGACTGCAGTTCAAGTCTTGGACCCAGTGGCTTAAACTCACGCCGGGCGCGTGTGCATATGTGCCCAAGATCCTGAGAGGAGAACGGAGGAGAAGGGATTGTGGTCTGGCCATCCTCCCTAGCAGGGGTGATTTCTCACTTTTTTTTTTTTGAGAGGTTTTTGCCATAGGGCGTGTACGCTGACCAGACAGACAGAGAGACAGAAAGCAAGAAATCACCCTCCAGGGGGGATGGCCACGCCACAATCCCTTCTCCTCCATTCTCCTCTCAGGATCTTGGGCACACGTGCCCGGTGTGAGTTTAAGCCACCGGGTCCGAGACTCAAACCGTGGTCGACTATGTGGGAGTCCAGCGACATAGCCATTATGCTAACTGCTGGTCCCTATTTCTCGCTTTCTGTCTCTCTGGCAAGTGCATATGCCCTCTGGCAAAAATCTCTCAAGAAAAAAAAATACACGCTAGGTGCATGTGCATACATGCCCAAAATCTCAAAAGGAGGGAGAAATGGAGGAGAAGGAATCGTAGCATGACCAGTGACCATCCCTCGTGCGGAGGGTGGGGGGGTGAGGGTGTCCTTTCTTACTTTCCCTCTCTCACTCTCTGTCTCTCTTTCTCTCTCTCCAGGGAGTGCATGTGCTCCCTGGCAAGATTTAAAAAAAAAGAATAGCAGTTGAGGCAAGTGTTGATGAGGAGGCTTGTTGGGGTGGGTACAGGTGTACACATGTGGAATGGGGAACAGGGAGGGCATCTGGCAAAGGTGGAAGGAAGAGTTCTCTGAAAGATTCTCTTAACTTTCTGGGATGGTTTAGTGTCCTGTGGCCAAGGCGCTGCAGCAGCTCAGCAAGGCGGATATGAGATCCCTGCAAGGCTGCGGACTCTGCACAACCTGGTGATCCAGTATGCAGCCCAGGGTCGCTATGAAGTGGCCATGCCACTCTGCAAGCAGGCACTAGAGGATCTGGAGCGCACGTCTGGCCGTGGCCACCCTGATGTTGCTACCATGCTCAACATTCTCGCTTTGGTTTATCGGTGAGTACTACCCTCCTCCTTGGCCTAGAATCTGCCCCGCATTTCCACCTCGGTCCTGGTCCTCTGTTGGCTCCTGACTCCAGTGCCTCCTCTCTGCAGAGTACCTCTCCTCTCTGCTGGGCCTTCCAGATATACCCCACTAGGGGACTTTCTGCTGTACCGGAACTGTCTCTTCTTCTATCCCTTAGTCCTTGGCCCCAGAGACTACTTATCTCTCAGGCTCTGCTTCTCTCGTCTCTCTTATGGGGGTGTCCTTTGCTCTCTGTTTCTGGCTCTTGCATCCCATGACTTGGGTCTCGCCTGGGATGGCATGCTCTGCAGCCTGGCATGACTATGTCCGTGAAGCCCTCTCACTCTTTTTTTTTTTTTTGGAGAGATTTTCGCTATAGGGCGCGTACGCTCGCCAGACAGAGAGAGACATAGAGACAGAAAGCGAGAAATCACCCCCCAGGGGGGATGGTCACGCCGCAATCCCTTCCCCTCCAGAGAAGGACCAGCAGCTTAAGTTCTACGCCACCTGCTGGCCCAGACAGACCTGAATTTTCATTTCATTTTATTCATGATGGAAAACGTGTGTGTAACATTCAGGAACGAGAGAGAGAGAAGGAAGAGAGAAAGACAGAGCATTCTGACAGGGTCTAGTCATGCCACGGTCCCCTTCCTCTCGGGCTCTTGGGCACGCACGCACACGCGCCCGGCGTGAGTTTTAAGCCACCGGGTCCGGGATGCGAACCGTGGTCGACTACGTGGGACTCCAGCGACATAGCCATTACGCTAACTGCTGGTTCCCAAGCCCTTTCACTCTTCATACCAAGCTTCCTGTCTCCTTAGGGATCTCCAGTCCCTAAATGGACCTCAGTCCTCCCAAAGAGAGAGAGGGAGGAGATGGCTTAAGGATAACCCCTGTCACTTTGTCTCCTTTCAGGGACCAGAATAAGTACAAGGAAGCTGAAAGGCCAAGGAAGCCGCCCCCCGGCTGAACGACGCCCTCAGCATCCGAGAGAGCACCCTGGGCCGAGACCACCCTGCCGTCAGTAATCCCTGCCCTCTCCCTGTCCCCAGTGCTCTTTTGACCTCGCTCAGCTTGCCCATCTGCTGCCCTCAGTGTACTCACTGGAGGTGCTTAGGAAGGAGGCGTCTGGGCATTACCTGCTGATCCCCAGTGGTTCTCATCCTCTAAGATTCAGTGACTCTCTCTGTCTCTATCTATCTACGCCTGGCATTTTTTCAAGCCTTTGGGTCCAGGACTAGAACTGTGCAGCTGGTGACATGGGCGAGAAATATCTATGTCTGTCGGGTTGTAGGAGAAGTCATGACGCATTCTTGCATAGAAAAATATGTCATGACTTTCCGGCTGACCTGATCTATCTATCTATCTATATCTATTTAGTTTTTGCTAGTTGTGTGTGAGTGTGTGTGTGCTTACCAGAGAGAGAGAGAAAGTGAGGAATCACTCCTAGGAGGTCTGGCCATGTCACAATCCCTTCTTCTCATTGTCCTCTCAGGATCTTGTGCACACACATGCATGTGCTCCTGGTGCGATTTTCAAGTTTACGCTTCACAGTCGGCCATGTGGGACCCAGCAGCTTAAGTTCTACGCCACCTGCTGGCCCAGACAGACCTGAATTTTCATTTCATTTTATTCATGATGGAAAACGTGTGTGTAACATTCAGGAACGAGAGAGAGAGAAGGAAGAGAGAAAGACAGAGCATTCTGACAGGGTCTAGTCATGCCACGGTCCCCTTCCTCTTGCCCTCCAGGCCACGAGGATCTTGGGCATGTGCGTGTGTGTGTCCAGTCTGTTTAAGGTAGACTGGAGACCCGAATCTGTGGTCAGCTGTGTGACTTTCAGCACTGCAGTCCAGTCCAGTACGGACTCTGCCACCTAGTCTGGGACACTAATGACTCTTTTATAATAAATAATAATTACCCTGGAGGGTGATTTCCTGCTCTCTGTCTCTGTCTCTCTGGTGAGCACATACACCCTATAGCAAAAATATTTAAAAAGAGAGAGAGAGAGAGAGAGAGAGAGAGAGAGAAATGACCTTAAGTAGAAATGACCCTTAAGGATAGTGACCCAGGACAATTTATACGATTGCCAAAGTGGGGCCAACAGGTGGCATAATGGTTAAGGTGCTGGACTCCCACATAGCCAAATGTGGTTCAAGTGTGGGACCTGGCAACTTGAAACTCACACTGGGTGCATGTACTTGCATGCCCCAAATCCCGAGAGGAGAATGGAGGAGATAGGATTGAGGCCACCCCTATGGGGGATGATTTCTCACTTTCTCTCTCTCTGCCTCTGTGTCTCTGGTGAACACATGGTTTCTACAGTAAAATCTTTCTTAAAAAAAAAAAAGAAGAAGAAAGAAAGATGGGGCCAGCAAATGGTGTAATGGTTACATCACTGGACTCCCTTGTAGTTGACTGTAGTTCAAGTCCTGGACCTGACAGCTTAAAACTCATGCCGGGTGCATGTGCATGCACGTTCAGAATACCTAGAGGAGAATGAAAGAGAAGGGACTGTGACATGCCCCCCCCAGGGAGTGATTTCTCGCTTTCTGTCTCTCTCTGTTTCTCCGCTGAGAACATGTGCCCTCTAGCAAAAATCTCTCAAAAAAAAAAGATTGTCAAAGTGGAGAAATAAATTTTTTGTTTTTGTTTTGTTTTGTTTGCTGTAGGGTGTATGCACTCACCAGAGAGAGACAGAGAGAGAGGAGAAAAGTGAGAAATCAATCCTCTCCCCAGGGTGGATGACCATGCCACAGTCCCTTCTCCTCCAATCTCCCTTCGAGATTTTGGGCACACACACACACAGGCACCCAGCACGATTTTCAAGCCAGGACTCAAACTTGGCCCTGTTGGATCCAGCCACCTTAACTTTAATGCCACCTGCTGGCCTGAAATAAAATATTTTTTAAATGAATTGACTGGAATTAATTCCCCACGATATGATGTAAAAGGCAGAATGATGCATCTCAGAAAACAAAATTATCTTGATTACCTTACTGAATGTCAAAACTTACATTCAATGTTTGACTGTCTAGTAGGACATTTAAAAGTTGCCGGAGCTGTCCCACACATGTAGGACATCTGTAACATTCTTGGCTCCCCACAGGTAATAATGCTCCCCCTCTTTTTTTAATTTATTTTTATTTTTTATTTTTTATTTTTTTTTAGATTTTTGCTATTGGGTGCATGCATTTGCAGAGAGAGGTGGAGAGAGAGGGAACGTGAGACATCATGCCCCAGAAAGGATGATTCTGCAGTCACTTCTCCATTCTCCTCTTGGGATTCTGAGCACTTTTTTTTTTTTTTTTTTTAGAGGTTTAGAGTGTATGTGATTGCTGGAAAAAGAGAGACAGAGACAGTGACAGGGAAAGTGAGAAATAACCCCAGAGAAATGGCCACACAGCAGTCCCTTCTCCTTCATTCTCCTCCTGGGATCTTAGGCACGCATGTACATGCACCCAGAGTGTGTTTCAAGCCGCCAGGTCTGAGACTTGAACTGCAGTCAGCCATGTAAGAAGAGTCCAGCAATGTAACCACCACATCATCTGCTGGCCCCTGGGCACACAGCTGTCAGTCATTTTTATTTTATTTTATTTTTAAAAGTAATTATTTTATTTACTTTTATTCTTCATCATCATCATCATTTTCCAGTTTGATCAGACAGAGAGAGAGGGGAAGTGAGAAAGCAAGCTGCCAGGTCTAGGGACTTGAACCACAGTTGGCCATGGGGGAGTCCAGCGCCCTTAACCACCATGCCACCTTCCAGCCCCTCTTTAATAAAGAACAGTTTAATTTAATTTATTATTATTATTTTTAAAAATTTGACTATCTATAAAGAGAGACAGAAAGTGAGAAAACAAGCCGCCAGGTCTGAACCATGGTTGGTCATGTGGGAATCTAATGCCTTAACTGCCACGCCACTTTCTAGCCCCAAGGGCATGTGTTTTTCAAGCCACTGGTCCAGGACTCAAAGAGCATAGTCAGTCATGTGGGATCCAATTACCTTAACCTCCATTCTACCTATTGGTCCCCATGCTCCCAATCTTCATGGCATGTGCACTTTCTGGAGAGACAGAGAGAGAGAAAGTGAGCAATCACCCCCCCAAGGGGGGGTGGCCATGCCACAGTCCCTTCTCCTCCATTCTTCCCTTAAGATTTTGGGTATGCATGCACACATGTCTGGTGTGAGTTTTAAGCTGCCAAGTCTGGGACTAGAACCACAGTTGACTACGTGGGAGTCTAGCAATGTAACCATTATGCCATCTGCTGGCACCATGGGAGCCCTTTTTTTTTTTTTCTGAGAGAGATTTTTGCTATATGGTACATACACTCACCATAGAGATAGACAGAAAGCAAGAACCCCCCCCCCCCAAGGGGAGTTGGCCACACCTCAATCACTTTTCTCCATTCTTCTCTTGGAATTTTGGGCACGCACACACACGTGCCCATTGTGATTTTCAAGTCCCCACCTCTGGGACTCAAACCACAGTCGACTATGTGAGAGTCCAGCGACGTAACCATTACGCCATCTGCTGGTCCCATGGCAACCCATCTCTAAGAATCCCCCTGGGGTGATGCCGCCACCATGGTTTCTGAGCTACCCTGTTCAGCAGTTTCCCTCCCGCCAGCCTTTGGCTAGGATGGTAGATTCCAGGTCTCTTGGGGTTGTCCGTGTAGGGCCCTACTGTGCAGTACGGGGTGGGGGACCTCGGGTCTCTTAGGTCCTTTGGCGTCGCAGCGTCTGACGGGGACAGGCCTCTCTTCACAGGTGGCTGCCACGCTCAACAATCTGGCTGTGCTCTACGGCAAAAGAGGCAAGTACAAGGAGGCGGAGCCGCTGTGCCAGCGGGCGCTGGAAATCCGGGAGAAGGTACCCAGCCCTCCTTTGTCAGCTGTGGTGGGATCCCCCTCCTCTCACCTCTCCTCTGACCTACCTTTCCCTCCCCTCTGCCTCGCTCTCTCTTCTGCCATTCCCTTCCCTTGCTCAAGTGTACACGCGTGTGCGCACGTACACACAGGGCATCAGCCGTTTATCTCCCCCCTTGCCCCCTCCAGGTCCTGGGCACTGACCACCCAGACGTGGCCAAGCAGCTGAACAACCTGGCCCTGCTGTGCCAGAACCAGGGCAAGTACGAGGCCGTCGAACGCTATTACCAGAGAGCGCTGGCCATCTATGAGGGGCAGCTGGGGCCCGACAACCCTAACGTAGCCCGGACCAAGAACAACCTGGTAAGGGAGTTGTGGGGAGGGAAGGGAGAGGCCACTCCTGCCCTGGAACTGGGCAGCACCTGGAGTGGATACACCGTTCTCGTCAAGTTGGTGCCATCTTTGGGGCTGCCGCTGGGAGTGACGAGGAATCCACTTGGGAGTGGAGCAGGGATACCCTTGATCCCACAGCTAGAGAAGGAGGTGGAAGGAGGACTTCTGGAGATCCCACAGCTAGAGAAGGAGGTGGAAGGAGGACCTCTGGAGAAAGTCATAGGGACAGCAGGAAGTGGGGCTCCCTGAGCCCGGCCACCCGCTCGTCTCCCTCCACTTTCTTCTCTTGTTCCTGTGTTTGCCTTCCTGCCCTCCAGGCTTCCTGCTACCTGAAACAGGGCAAATATGCTGAGGCCGAGACCCTGTACAAAGAGATCCTGACCCGTGCCCATGTGCAGGAGTTTGGGTTGGTGGATGGTGAGTGGTGAGCACCTGGGGAGAGGCTGCAGGGAGGAAAGGAAATGCAGACCAGAGGTGGGGGGTAAGGTCACAGTGGCTCCCAGGGGGAGCCGGACCCCTTCAGCACTGCTGGCCTCTGGTCCCGGCCCCACTCTCTAACCTCATCCACCTTGTGTATCCTCCCAGATGACCACAAGCCCATCTGGATGCATGCCGAGGAGCGGGAGGAAAGGAGCAAAGTGAGTGGGAACAGCCTGGGGGACTCAAGGCTCCTGGCCCTTCTTACCCCTGGCATTAGCCCAGCACGTCCCCAGCCGCATGGTGCCTTCCCCAGCCCAGTATGCACCCAGCCCCCTAGCTCACCCCCCAGCAACTCTACAGGATTTTCTCTGGCTCCTTCCCTGTTCTGCCCTGCAGAGCCGGCCCCGGGAGGGCAGCACGCCCTATGTCGAGTATGGAGGCTGGTACAAGGCCTGCAAAGTGAGCAGGTGAGCTCAGTGAAAGGCCGGCCAGGCCCCAGTGCCCTGTCCAACCCTGACCCCCACCCCAGCCTCCCGGACCCCTTTTCCTCCTGCCTTTTGACCTTCCCTTGGCCTTGGCTCTGTTCCCTGTCTGCCTCATTTCCTCTTCGGAGAGCATTTACTCTTCCTCCCCTGGTCTCACCCGGAGTAGCCCCACAGTGAACACCACCCTGAGGAACCTAGGCGCTCTGTACCGGCGGCAGGGAAAGCTGGAGGCAGCTGAGACCCTGGAGGAATGTGCCCTGCGTTCCCGGAAACAGGTCAGAGATGCAGAGGGGAGGAAGGTCCCGGAAAGAAGGGACCAGCAGTTAGTGTAATGGCTATGTCGCTGGACTCCCACGTAGTTGACCGCGGTTTGAGTCCCGGACCTGGTGGCTTAAAACTCACGCCGGGCATGTGTGCATGTGTGCCCAAGATCCCGAGAGGAGAATGGAGGAGAAGGGACTGCGGTGTGACCATCCCCCCTGGGGGGTGATTTCTTGCTTTCTGTCTCTCTGTCTCTGTCTGTCTGGCGAGCGCACATGCCCTATAGCAAAAAAACCTCTCCAAAAATAAATAAATAAATAAAAGAAGGGCCCTGGGATGAGGCACTCCTGGGGCTTCTGTGAGTCTCCCAAGAGTAGGAGGAGAGGCGATGAAGAAGGCAGGAAGCAGAGGCAGTCCTGTGGTTGTGATTGTTCCTAAGCATGTTCGTACCCTCCACCTGCTTCTGTGGTCAGAGCTCCAGGTTCAAGATTCCCTTTGTTGGGCTGGCCCTGTGGCCAAGGGAGCCTGATCCCACATGACCAACCATGCAATGGAGTCCTGGCTCCAGTGGCTTGAAAAACCCTCCAGGTGTGTGTGTGTGTGTGTGCATGTGGAACCCCCCCCC